TTTTTCTCACATCTGTAAAGGATCTGATTGGTTCTAAGCTGTTTGCACTGACAGTCTGGCTAGTCTAACTGGCCAGACTACTTTATCACATTTCTTTATTCCAGTGGTTTCCAGAGTAGATTTTTTTAAAGAATTAATCACAATATTAAATTCTGTTGCACAATGAAAAATATGAACTGAAAATAATTCAAATAGGGCTAGGGCTAATAAGGTAAAAACATTAACACATAAATGTTGAGTTGAGTTAGATGGCGGTGTTGACATGAGATGGTGTATCTGCACTCTGACGAGCATTGATGGCGTCGCCCTGCTGTGTCCTCAGGCAGCCTTCAGTATCTTTGGCATGGTGGGCGGCCCCCTGTTGGGACTCTTCTGCCTGGGCATTTTCTTTCCTTGGGCCAACCCTAAAGTAAGTCTTTACTGTTAGCATCCTTTAGCGCTGTGCTCAGGTAAAGCGCCGTCTCCTTCATCCTGTTCCACTGTGATGTGTCCTGCTCTCAGGGTGCCGTGGTCGGGTTAGTGGCAGGCCTGGCCATGGCCTTCTGGGTGGGGATCGGAAGCTTTGTGATGCGAATGTCCCGCTCCTCAGCAGGACCCGCTCTGAACACCACCGCTCTGCCGCTGTTTGATAACATGACCTCCACTGCTCTGGCCTCCATGGTTACCAACCCCACAGCCAAACCCAGGTAACGCACCATTAGGGCTGTAACAGAGATTGCTCAGAGACGCTGGATCCAAACGTCTGAGAATAAAAGGATGAATCGAATGTTTCTGGTGCTTTTTCCATCAGACCAACAGGAGTGGAAGCTCTCTACTCGCTGTCCTACATGTGGTACAGCGCTCACAACTCAGCCACCGTGGTGGTGGTGGGGCTGCTGGTCAGTCTTCTCACAGGTAGGAGCATCAAATGGTCTTTAAAGATCTTTTAATCATAAAAAATCCTCTAAGAAATTTTTATTAGATAATTTATTATTAGATATTGAATTCTTTTTTATTGTATTATATTATTAGATAAGCAAATATCTTTATAATTCATATGTAATTATTAGTATTTGATGATAGTTTTGTAATAAAATGCAAACAATGAAATATTTTCATTATTTATGCATTCATTAGTATTAAATAATTTATTATCTAATAATAATACTAAACATCCTGTAAGGATTTTAATGAGATAATAATCAAATCTTATTAATATTGATTTATTAATTAATACAAAAATATCAAATTATTATAAATAATGGTAATCCATGTTATTTTATTATCTAAGATGAAAATATGGAATCATATTTAGCTCAGAGGTCAAATTAACTGAACATTTCCCATTTTTAACCATTAAAATCTTTTTATTTAACACCAGCTGTAGTTTCTCTGCTGTCCTTAGCTAACGGTGCTGAATGCTTCTGTCTTTATGTTCACATAAGGACCTATGAAGGAGAAGGAGCTGACCCCAGGGACGGTTTTCCCCGTCCTCGGGACGCTGCTCTTCTTCCTGCCTGAGCGCTACAAGGAGAAGCTGTGCTGCATCACTCCTCTGGCCATGAAGGTACCTCAATGATTGCTCTCCTGCTGTGTGTTTCCATCTGCACTCTGCTTTCTGGCTCTGCTGGAAGTTAGCCTGTTAAAAAGGAGTTTTTCCTCTCCACTGTTGCTACAAGCATGCTTAGAGTGAGGGATTGCATTTGATTCATTGAGTCAATTTAATCAACTAGTTTTCCTTAGATGGAAAACTGAATCAATTTGACTGGATGATCTGGTGAATTGTAAAGTGCCTTGAGGTGACATGTGTTGTGAATTGGCGCTATAGAGATAAACTGAACTGAAATTGAATTGCTTTCTTCACTTCCATTAATGCTTCTGTTTTTCAGGCAAAGGACATTCATACTCCGCCTTATCAGATGGCAAAGAAGGACAGCAACGGGGCGGCTTTCTGCGGGGAGGACGCCGCCGCAGAGGATAAATCACAAACGGAGGAGGAGAGAACTCTGCCTTCCTGCCAGCTGACGGCTCACATAGTGGAGGAGACGGCCTTATGATGCTTTAAACCGCACACTATGACTTTAGCTGCTGTCGGACCCCGCCTCCCCGTTCAAACCCTGATTATAAAGCTGATCACCACGCAGAGGGGACCGACCATCGCCTGAAGCAGGTTTACGAGCTGAAAGGAGCAGACCGACGGGTGGGAGGTCGCAGAAAGGAGGCGGCTGCTGCTTTCAGACTCTCAGATCAGACACACCTGTTCAGATGCTCCAGTGTCGCGCAGGGAATCGTTGCACAAATGAAATAATTTATTTTTGTAGCATAAAAAAGAGACGGAAAATCTAGAGAATATGAAGATCTAATTAAACTAAAATCAGAGATGGAAGCGAGATCGAGTGCAAATAATGTCACGTTTTGCACAGCTTGGTTTCAACCCAACAAACCTTTTTAGCTATTAATAAAAAAAGAGTGGCTAAATGTTTTCATAGAGATGAAGCTGTGGTGATGAGAGCAGAGGTCAACCGGAGCCATCCTGACAGGAACCAAAGAATGCCGACTGAACGCCAGTTTGGTCGACTGAAAATAAAGCACAAAACGGTGAATTCAAGGATAAGTTTTAATAACTATACTTTAGAGTTACTAAAATAACAAAACGTGAAATGAATTTATATGAATAGTCTTTAATAGAAGGCTAGGTTACATGTTTAGCACAATTCAGTACATGGACAATTCAATGTGCTTTACATGAATTAGATAAGAAAATAAAAGCAAAAACATTAGTAAGCAAATAGAGGAAAATACATGTTCTTAACACGAACATCATAAACACTAAACCCTTATTTTATAGAATGCTTTACACAGATTTAATAGAATAAAGAAATGATTTATAAAACAAATCTACTGTAAAACTATAAGATTAAGAGCAAGCAAAACAATAGGAGGATAAGAAAAATAAAAACTAATAATTAAACCAGACGGAGCCTCCTGGAATCGATGGGCAAATAGAGGAGAGATTTCACTGCTACTCAGTTAATAATTCTGTTTCCCGTAAAGCCTGATTATCAGCAAAACAATAAAACTAATTTAGTTTGTAAAATTAGACCCCAGAAGGAGAGGACAAAGGGAGAATTAAAGGAGTCCTGAGATGCAGCCTTGAGGAACGCCTTAATTCGGAGCAGGTGAGCCAGCTGGATGGGGAAGCATCACCACGTTAAAAACAGCAGCAGCAGGTAGATTAATGAACATAGAGCAGATCTTTAGAAGCTCCACAGTGACCAAACCAGTTTCAGATGTGGATGTTCCTGTGCCGCCTGCTGATCCTGGATCAGGATCTTGTTCCCACCAGAAATTATTTTAAAACGGATCATCACTGGATTCTGATCCAAAAACAAATACATTTTCACTAGATCAGGCTAATTCATATTAATTCGGAAAAAAATCCAGATGAGAATCACAACTACTTTATTAATTTCTTGCGGGAAATTCTTTTCTTGCAGTGCAACTGTTTAAAGAAGAGAGAAAAATAAGATTTTAAGTAAAATAGAGCAGAATAAAATAAAATGAGTTGATCAGAGGTGATGTGAACCATTTAGGACCATTTAAACAACAGAAGCCAATGATTGTTTACACAGGAAACAAGCTGGGCTAAAATTAATATTTAAAAAAAACAGAAAAATTAGATTTTCTTAAACTGCTATTATTTTACAACAGAAATATTTTTTTTCCACAGCAATTTAAAGCAGCTTTTTTTCTCTCTCTCTCTGCAGTGTAATGTTTCCAGTGGCCTTAAGGGGCGCTGAACCTAGAAGTTATTAGTTCTCCTATTTTCAATGCTTCCCCATAGCTTTTAGCCTATGATGAAGCATTGGAAACAGCCCGTCTAGATCTGATTGTAAGGGGCCTCATCCTGTGAATGTTTCTCTGAAATGTTAACATGAGATGTAAATGTTCACTAACCTTAAATTAAGCACAGATCAGTTATTTTCTCAGATGAAGGGGTTGGGCCATAGATTCTCCTCCACTCTGATTCCCACTTTAGCTTCAGAATAACAGGAACTACAGAAACATCTCTGCTAAATTAATGTTGGTCTTCTGTTAAGTGGCCTTTTTATAGTTTTTCTTCTAGATGGCTGTCAGTGATTGTATGTGATAATCAATATTATGGAGTGAATTTAGTTTCATTATAGTTACCATCAAAGAACATGTTTGATAAATGGAAATTTAGAAAAAAATATGTAATCCAGAAATGACAGAAAAGGGTTTTGAGAGTAACTTTGTTTCTTTAAATTTTATTTAATCTTTTATTTTTCATATTCTTTTATAATTTAACTTTTTTTTAAGATTTAGCATTTTCAATTTAAAGTTTTTAAAATAATTTTGCAGATTACATTCTCTTCCCTTCAAGCCCAACCAAACTGGCTCTCACTTTGCTCCTCAGCCCAGAGGAAAGCCCGCCCCCAGAAGTGAAGAAAAAGCCTTCTAGAAAACACAATTTGAAAAAGAATCAAATTCATAGTCCTCAATCTGAAAAACAAAATCAAAAATTTGTTCGAACTTATTAAAAAAAAAAAAGTTTGAACAAATTCAATATAAAAATCTGAGAAGTTTATTCACAGAAGTTTTATTTCTGGATTTATCTGATTTGTTCAAATTTTCATTTACAAAGTGTGTTCTCTGCTTGGAACAATAACGGAACAAAATTCCCTCCATAGGATATTTGTCATTTTTTTTGGAATCAGAATTCTTGACCTCTTTTTAATTTCTTTTTCTTGCCGTTAGACTCAGCATCCATGTTTGTCTGTCATTGCTAAGCATCATCTGAATGCAGAGAGTGATGCAGACGCACGGAGATGTTTACCTCTGATTTCTCATGTGTCATTGTGGACGTTTTCCGTAGGGAGCAGAGACGTACCCGACCTATCCAAAGCATATAGAACTCCTCTTATTTTATAACTATTTAAAACTAATAGAGCATATATTTTAGCTTTTATTTTTCTAATCGTCACATGAATCCTTTTGTGCATTTCCAGTAGTGAAATGTGCCGTTCTATATGCAAGAACCATGAAAACAACAGGAACGTAGCATCTCTTCTGCCAGATTCCTCTTCTCATGGTTCAGAGTTTTTAATCGAGTATATTTTTGTGATCGTGTAGCTTTTTTGAATCCTCCATACCTGAAATTACTTGAAGTGCGTGGCTGTCGGTGATGCTGTCAGTGTGAAGCAGACAGAATGAAGCACCAGTGAACAGAGAAGCACACCCAGGTGCCAGTCTACCTTTATCTGCATTACAAATCTGACTTAGAAGTACAGATTCTGTAGCTTTGTGGCCTTTTTCACAGTGAAACACTCAGTAATTTCTGCATGGAATAAATATTGTTGGAGCAATATTTATTGTCTGTCCATCCCATCCTCAAGAATTCTCCTTATTATGCATTCCAAAAAAAAAAAGGAAGCCCACAAGCACTGGAGCTCCGGTTCTCCTCTGCTTTGGCTGTGCCTTCATTCGTCAGAGCGTCCTTTGACTTCAAACATCTGCCAACAGCTGGACCAAACAGAAGTGATGATTGTTTCTTTAATGTTCTGTTTAAAGCCTTTCTGTGTCGCAGTGTTTAGATCTATGTTTATTTCTAATTGAACTGAGGCAAAGTTTAAAATTTATCTCCACTGTTTATTGTAATTGCTGTAAAAAACAAAACAAGCATTAATCTGTGTTCTGGTGCCACCTAGTGGAGAAAACCGGTCAGAAAACTTCGTTGTAATTAAAGCATCTTGGAAAAATGAGAGGCTGTGTGTGTTTCATGTTTAATTCTGGCATAGATTTTCTGTTGATTAATTTTACTGTGGAGGAAGGTTACTATCAGCACTGTTTAATCAATTTGAA